CATTCCCATTTTTACGTCCCCATTTGGATGCAGGCAGTACAATGACTTACATCAGTGGTGCTCCACCTTTTGGCCCTGCAGGCCAGATGAGCTGGATGGGGATCAGATCGGGCCCTGGGGCCCAGTACTGGCTCCTCCCTGCTCTGCATGCTGGGGTTGGACCTTTTGGAGGCCCAGCACTGTTTCCTTCCAGCCACATGGATTGGGTCCTGGGAATCCAGCTCTGCCCCTGCCCCCTCCCCCTCCCACGCCCCACACTCAGGGATTGGGGTGGCACTGCCTCCTCGCACCAGGACTGGGTCCCAGAGGTCTGGCACCACCCCCTCCTGCCCCCAAATACCATGATTGGGCCCTGTGGCCTGACGCTGCCCCCATCCAAATCTGTGTGCTGGGATCAGGAGCCAGATCCAGCGCACAGGGCTTCAGGCTCCTCACAGGTCTGGTAATCTGGCAGCAAGGGAACAGTGTTATTGTCCCCATGCCACCAAATTTCCAGACCTGTGGAAAGCTCTGGGGGGAGCTCAAGACATGGCACTGTGGGCTGGATCTGGCCTACAGGTCAGAGATTAAGCACCCCTGATTCATATAATTAAAGTTACACCAAGTATTGTAAAATTATGCAGAAAGATGAGCTGACACAAATTTGCTGCAAACTTCACAAAGAAAAAAATCAAGCTCGCACCAGAACAAAAACTGATTAAGGTACACAGGCCATCAGGCAAACCTGGAGCAACAGGAGATAAAAGGCTACATGTTGGAAGTTTGGTGGAAGGCACCAAAATATTCAGAATCTATTCATGAATACCCTGGACAAAGTAAGTACGAACTGCTATACCCAATAAGGAAAGCATGAAGGATGGTAGAACCAAACCTAGTACAACAGATACAAGGTGTATGTAAAAAAGTTGCAATGGACCATGTATTAATAAACACTGTGATACATGGTGAGTTAATTCAAAGAAATATATTTTAAAAAGCTTTCTGTGCAGAAGAAAGTTGCATGAGATAGTGAACCTATAACTCAACAAACATCAATAAATTAACAAAGGTTATGAGTATGGCTTTGATAACCTGCAATCAAACCATGGGAGTGCAAAGATCCATTTTCACAGAAGTAATTATCAGATCAGAATGTATTTAAAAAACCCAAATTCATTGAAGCCTACCCATTTTTAAGCAGCCTAGTCAATTAAATCACATCATATATGACTTTTCATTTTTATTCTACTTTTATTATAAGCAACATAAAATATTTCAGAGAAAAAAAAAAAAATCTCAAATTTTTCCAGGTTTTTTTCTTTATACATTTAACTACACTTTGAGTACTGGTCAATTTCATTACTATCCTCAATAGTTAATCAGTCAATTTCCCTATTACTGTATTTCTTCCATACAGTATAGGTGAAAAAAGCATAACTGCTTGTTATTGTGTAGGAAAATGTGATTATGGAACAACAAAACTAAATCATCAGGATGTGCAAGTGCAAACACTTGGCACATCTTTCAATTTACTCCCAGGAAATGACATTTTTCAAGTTGATAGTGTCAGCCTTACCTGTAGAATTAACTCTGGATTTTGGGAGTTTTTTTCCTCTATCAGTTTGGACTTTCACCTTAGTTTCCTTTCTTATTTTTTCTTTGATTTTCTTCTTCTTTTTCACAGCAAAGTCGTCTTCTTCATCATCTTCACTGAAATCTGAACAACTCTCTGATTCCTCATCTAAAACAAAAGATATTGGAAATATGACATCTCTTTCCTAGAATATATTTTACTTTTGCCCCAGGGTTTTCTAAGCTAATTCTGAACAGAAACAAATGAGTTTGGGTCTCTATGTTAAATCAATCTGAAGGAAAAAGCACTTTAATTATTGAACCAAAAAAGGAAAAAAATACTGAGAAAGAAAATCTAGGTATTAAAATGTAAAGACTAAAATTGGACTTCTGTAACAGGTAACCTATAGAGCAATAGTTCTCAATGTTTCTGGACTTGATGCATCACTCACTGAGTTCGAGGCATCCCTCCATAGCTTTTGTGAATTGAGTGGCACTCAATTTCAAAAACTAATTTATATATTACAGTGCCACCCCTCAAGCACATGTAAATATGCCCAATGAGTAATAAAAAAAGGTATAAACTGAAATTCAGCACACAATTCGCTGAAAATACTCCTCTCAACATAACTGAACATATTAAAAATATACCCAACTGTGACAAGTCTGACAGAAGAATACTTACCAGATACAGACGCTGGTTCATAGTCATCAGCACTGTCTCCATCATCACTGCCATTTGTCTGTAACTTCTGCTGTGATGTGACCTTGGATACTGCTCTTCTTTGCACGACAACATCTGCATGGATATTATTTTCATCTGTAATCTGAGTGACACCTACAGGAAAAATGTTGATCTAATTAACACTAACTTAGTCCTAAACAACTGACACATTTAAAAGATAAGCAGGTACTTGAGTGTTTAGGATCTTTTTACCTGTATTACAGGTGTTCAGTTCCTTGGTTACTGATAAGAGAAGAAAGAGACATGTCAACAGCCTGACCTTTTACTGTTTACACCTCCAAGAAGAAATACTTATCCTGTGTCTATCTGGCTACCAACAACAGTGCACTATAGATTGTCACCTATATCACTTGAGCAGACTCAGAAGGGTAATAGCACAGACTTGTAAAAAGGTCCTCTTTAATTTGCTGAATTCTTCAATTTTTCCTCCAGACCATCCATATCCCAATATTTACACATGGCTCACTGTAACATTAGTTCTCTGATTATTTAAAGCCACAAAAATCCTTGCCTCTATTTTGCTGAGATTTTGATAATGGGACTGAACCATTTTATCTAGGTGTCAAGTTGATGGAATTTATATCCACATGAAAAAAAAAAAATCACAATTTTATTGAAGATTTCTTATCTCTTTCTCTCACCATTATTGAATGTTTCTTGCCATGATCCTGTTTTGTCTTCAACTTGTTTTATGGTCTTCACTGAGAAGGCTGCTTTTGTTTTTACAACTCATCTAAGAAACTTATCAAAAATATATCTATTATAGCACAGCTACATCTAACACATTAGATTACATCAATCAGTACTACTTAGGTTGTCAAGTTACAATTGTAATATGCTAAGTTTGGGTTACCTACGTTAAAGCCTTCCCTTAAAATGTCTCCTCTCAAGCCTTTTGTTCCGTCTGTTTTGATTTCCCTGCTCATTTAGCTGGACACATTAACTGCTTTCTTTACTTTGCTGACCAGGCTAATTGTAAAGTCTGCAAAGGTTCACCAATAGGTCAGAAACAAGCTCTGAAGCTTTCTGCAGCTTGGCCTAAGACCCTTGAAAATGGCAGGGATGTTATCAGCCTTGACTATCCAAAACCGATTCCCAGTTTTTCTGAAGATCATTACCCAGGGCCCAGCATCACAGCTTCCTCAAATGCTTGAAACTTTCATTTCACTCATATTAAAAACTTGCTCTGAAGTGGACTTTCTGTAAATAGTTGCCAATGCTATTCTGGAACTGAACATCCAGACAAAAGATAAAAATAAAATGAAAAGAAAACATCACATTCATAAAGTTTCCTCCCCACCAGAAAACCTGAGCCTTGAAAGTTCATATGTTATGGCAGACAAGGTTCTTTGGGTAAATGTGATATCTTTTAATAGACCAACTAATAATTGGAAAAATTGTTCTTTGCAAGCTTTTAGCGCAAACACCCTTCTTCAGGCCTAGGGAGAGTTTGCTGTTTTGTGTTCTCCTAGGTAGAATAGAAGACAATATGCAAAATGCAGGCCTGTGAAAATGTAAATGTATGGCAGTGAGCATCAAGAGGCAATAGGAGATAATAGGTGTGACACAGGCAGGTGGGGAAGGAAAAGTGGGAGATGTTGACTTGGTGACAGAACGTAGCACACATAATGGGGACATCATTACAAGGTGCTACCCGCATCCTACAAGGTGCTAATAGTGAAATCAGGGAGGTGAGGGCACGAAGGTATTCCAAGGAGATAATCAGTACCTTAACACATTTGTGAACATGCTTATTCCTTTTAATTCTCATTGGCTGGTGATGGAAATATCCATTTTTTTTTTTTTTACTGGTTTTAAGACAGGGTCCAACTTTAAAAGCTTTCAGAACTTCTGAAACACACCATAGGTACACAGTTTAAAACAAGGATGTCAAACCTACTCACGGCCCTGTGCTGGAACCATACCACAGGGTCCCCCCACAGGCCAGACCTGGACCCCAAGTAGCCTCCTGGCTGGATCCAGATATGGAAGAATGGGTGTCAGCATGGGGGTTAATGAAGCCATTGTTCTCTGCTCCTCAAATGTATGTCCATCAGGTCTCTTTAGCTCGGAGTTTGGTAGCAGGTTCTGCCCCACCTGCCCCATCTTTAATTTTCCAGCCCCTCTAGGGGCTCTGCAGGCTGGGTGAAACTGCTCTGAGAGTCAGATTTGGCCCATCGGCTGTATGTTTGACTACCCAATTTAAAAAAAAACTCAGTATTTCCTCTCAGGAAAATGAAAACAAAGTACTGGGGGGGTGGGGGGAAGGAGGCTGTGTTTCAGAAATACCACATACATCTTTGTCTACATAAAGACAGGCATGAAAAAAAAACAAAAAAACAACTTACCTAAGACAACACTATCTACACTGCAGTTGGAGAGGACAAGACTGCTATCTGCATTTTCCAATTCAGGGGCTTCACATTTTTTAATACCTATATAAAAATAAAGTGAAATACAGATCTCTGATAGAGCTAAGATATCAATTATTTCAGCTGATGGGCCACTTAATGAGTTTTGGTGAGCTGTCAAGGGTTGCCCACATAAAATCTTCCAGAAGATATCATTTTGACTAATTATAGATAAAAAAAAAAAAATCATATCCTAAAAAAAATATCAAACATCAACTGTAACATATTTTATTTAAAAAGATAAGTTTTGTCCTGTATTTTGCTTTTCCATAATGTATATAGTGGTGATTGTCTAATAGCTCAAAATAAAGTCTTACCCTTGTACATTGTGTGTAGGGTGTATGTGGAGTGGGGTGTGGGAAGCTGCCTGCGCACTCGGTCCCAGAACCTGGTCAGAGGGAAAGGAAGCTGGACCAGGAGGTGCATGCAGGACAGTCTGCCTGGGAGGTCCAGTGCAAGTGCAGGTGCAGTCAGCCCCCACCCCTACTCCATCTGGCCCACAGCTGCCCCTGCACTGCTCCACATGGGGCCAAGCCCTGCATATTCCTGCCCAGGGCAACCCACACCGTGCTCCTGTCTGGACCCACCTCATACCTATTGACAGCACTGACCTTGCCCTGGCTAGCACGCACAGCTTCCTGGTGGCCACCCAGGTATTGCTTGTCCCCCCCCACTCCGCACAGGTCCTCCTCCTCTTCCTCCTGCCCCTGCTGTGCTGCGCTGGAAAACAGGTAGTGCAGGGAAACAATGGCATCACATACCCAACCAGGCAGGGGTGGGGCTCAGGGAAGCTGCAGTTGGGCAGCTCCTGCTCCAGTGCATGGGGCTCCAGCTCCAAGCTGCCTTCTACCCACTTAGCTGCCTGCAGATGGCTGCTCACTGTGTCGGAAAGCTGTGCCTGCTGGCCAGGGCTGGGGCCAAGGATGTGCAGTCAGTGGGCATAGGGTAGACTGCCCGAGACAGGGCTCAGCTCCATGTAGAGTGCCTTGGGGGCAGCCACGGGTCAGATGCAATCAATTAATAGGCTGGATCTGGCCCACGGGTTGTATTTTGCCCACACCTCCTTTATTTGAATCTGTAGTCTGAGTGGGTTAAGAGACTGAAATGGACAAAGGCATTTCTATAACCCCAATTCAATCCCCATTCAAATTAGCTGAATCAGATCCTATAAGAGTTGGTGTACTGCACCTGGAAATTTTAACTCAGATCCTCCAAAATTCCTAATACTTAATCTATATTATAAAGAAGTGATTATGGGAGTTTAGCACATAAATGGTTTCGTATGACAAATGCATCCATAACTGGATAAAAAGAAAACATTTAGTTTTCTGAATTAGTCTACTCCAAAAAGATAAATACTACCTGCACAATTAGAAAGCAGATACAAAGGATGCCAAACAGCAGTATATGAACCAGTGGCTTCCAATGGGAAAGGCTGAAATGTTTTTTTAACTAAAGAAATAACCTTGTTCTTGTGAATCCTGCACTTCAAAGACTTCTGCAGATTGTTGTTCGACAGACAAAGCCAATGCAACTTCTAAATCTCTCTTGTAAAGCTTATCATCCAAAGCTATCCTGAAAAAAAAAAAAAAAAAGAAACTCCTAGGGAAAAAATTCTTGTAATTCTGCTAAATCATTTATTTGTGAAATAAAACGTTACAAAACTGACTCATAATTTTACTGTAAGTCAACAGTTGCATAGAAAATAATCAATGAAAAGTATTTTAATACTTAATCTATACCATATTGCATAAAAATGTCTTACTCAAGAAAAACTTTATTAAATACAGATGTTATAATAGTACAGGATACCCTAACATTGTTCATATTCTGATGGCTCACAACCTATTTAATTTGCTAAGTTGTTAAGTACATGACAAACTATGCATCCGTTTGCTGCAGTTTTTACTTCAAAGAAGGCATTGTAGATGTGTAACTTACAGACTAACTATATCATAGATGCATAAGCTCTTGGAAGCAACAGCTTACTTCATCAGATGCTATGAAGGGACTGCAGGAAGTACAGCAAACAGAAAGCAGTTATTAGAATATAAAGGGTGGGGGGGAACAGTAACTAGGAGAGGCAAGGTGGGTAGGCGAGAGAAAAAACAATTGAGGAATACTGGAGTTATACAAGCTAAACAAGGAAATGGGATAAGAATCCATAATCTTGGTTTGTATCAGTGGTGCCCAACCTTTTTGCTTCATGGCCCAGATGGGCAGTGCCAGGTCCCTCCATGGGCTGGATCTGGCCAACAGGCTCAATCCAGCTGTAGGGGTTTGTACAACCTGACTTTAATTTGTCCGCCCAGGGTGGGGCCAGAGTGGGGTGGAGAGGCCCCAATCTGGATGCATGTGGCAGGGGGGAGTAGCCTAGTTCAGATGCATGTGGCAGGGACAGGTCAGGGAAAGGTAGCCCCAATCCACACATGGGAAAGAAGCAGCCCAGACCTGATCTTGCATGATCAGGGGGCAGCAGGGCAGGCCCCACAAGGACAGGCTACAGTACCTGAACCTGTTCAGCCTCCACAAAAGAAGGCTGAGGGGGGATCCAGTGGCCGTTTAGAAACTGGTCAGGGGGGACCAGCAGGCACTGGAGGAGTCCCTGCTCCCCCGAGCACTACCAGGAGTGACTAGAAATAATGGTCACAAGCTGGCAGAGGGTAGATTCAGATTAGACATCAGGAGGCGCTACTTCACTGTCAGGGCAGCTAGGATCTGGAGCCAACTTCCAAGCGAAGTGGTGCTGGGTCCTACCCTGGAGGTCTTTGAGACAACGCTTGACAATCACCTTGCTGGGGTTGTTTGACCCCAGGACTCTTCGCTGCCTTGGCAGGGGGTCAGACTTGATGATCTGCTCAGGTCCCTTCCAACCCTATTAACTATGAAACTATGATCTGGATGACAGGGAGGTTGGGGTTGGGGAGGTGGGACGAAGCAGCCTACTCCCACTGTAGATGCATAGGCAAAACAGGGAAGGGGGGGGTAAGGGTAGCACAGGGCAGCCCTGATTCCAACACAGGAAGGGGGTGGGAAGCAGCCTGGTCCAGATCTGGAAAGGGGGAGGGGGGGCAGTGGGGTGGAGGGACCCCAATCCAAGCATGCAGGTGGGTGGGGGGAACAGCCCAGCCTGTCCTGGACACACAAGGGGCAGCTGGGCCCTGATCTCACTGCATGGGCAATGGCCTGGGTGAGGCTGGAGCTGGCCACACAGAGCTTCCAGTGCTCCCCATTGCCAAGTTTCTGACCCGTGGGGGAGCCGCCAACATAGATCATACTTAACACAATGTGGACACTGCTTCTCCACTTAGCTGGTGCATTGTTTCTTGTGGTTGTATATAACCCAGCTGGTTTGCAAATCCTCATCTTCTCAGGGACTAAGGAAACTAACCCTATAAAATATCTAGGTTCTACTTAAAATGGAATACTTTAGGACTTTAAAGTATTGCAGATATATTAACTAATTATCAGTAACAGGGTGTATCTACATGAAATGCTAAAGGTGTAGTAGACTAATTTTCCTGCACATTAGTGTCACAAAAAAGTGCGTGCCGATTATGGCGCTTTAATTTAGTACCTGTAATTACAGGTACTAAACTTAATGCGCTGTAATTAT